TCACGGGCACTACATTATTATTAATTAGTACAATTTTCTTTGAACCGATACGAGTTTGTTTCAGCTTAAGTTACCTTTAGAAAAATCGGAGGCCTTTAATGTCCCTTATAATAATGAAAAATATAAAGCAACACATAATTCGCAGAGACAACGACGTTTTATGTACTGTGTTCAGCAATAAAGATATTTGATTTGATTTGATTTTGACTTTATTGGCGTAAATCCAAACATATATTCCAAGTATTTGGTGAAAAGTTGGAACGTAGAAAACACACGTTTTTGTCCTTATATTCTAGTTATAATAAAAGGTAAATAAAAAACAAATTGTTGAAACGTTTACATTCGATGATACTTTTGAATGTACGGCACACCAACTGCGTATTGAAGTGGCGAGTATTAAGAGCAACTCAACCGGATTGGTTTGCATTGTATTGTAGTGCATATGAGAGCGGAAATTGGATTTTCGATCCCCTCTGCTACATGTACCGTGTATGAGTGTATGCGTTCCACTTTATTTTTACTCACCTCCGGCGTCACCTAAATTCGACAAGCTTACTCACAAGCAATAAAATTAAGTAACTCAATCAAAACTGAGTTCTTTATGAAAGTTTTTGGTTTTTTAAGCATTTTTCTGCAGAAAACTGCTTGATAAATTGTCCAATAAAATTGTCAACACAGCATTAAGTATTGCATTGTGCTTCCCCCTTTTTCAAATGACCGGAAGGACCGAATGTGTACTCGTTCGCTTTTAATTTAATGAATGAAATCCCTCTTGATGACGGATGTTTCCGCCTGGGAGAGGAGCAGATTAATAGACATATTTGACCCCTTTGATACGATGCAAAGGACACTTTTCAAGACGTGATCATTGTATTTACAAACTGAATTGTCGGTCAATGGTCTGTAGGAATATAATAAAACACCTATATTAAACTGCTACAGATGCTACCATTTGAAAAGTTTTATAAGTAATGCAGCCATATTTAAGCTTAGTTGCACCACAGAAAGTAGTTTAGTATTAGTTTGTGTTAAATTTAAGAGTAACTATAACGCTGAATTTGACAGTTACAGCAAAAGTGTTGCACCAGCGATTTCATTAACTTTGTGAATTTCAGTCCATTGAAGTCAGCGGACTGAAATTCTCGATACTTTTTGTTAAATCATGTTAAAACCTTATTAGGTTTTATTTTAATTTGATGAATAAAGGTTATTTAAAAATATATTTTTGGCGCTGTCATCACTGTAACTCGGATTGTAGCAGAGGAGCCAAGATTTTTTTAGGACCTTTGCTACTAATAAATTATGGGCCTATTCGTGATATATCATTATAATTAATATTTGTATTCGCATTCAAGAATATTCCGATATTTTTTGACATTGACATTCGCGTTCGCGAATATCGAAAATATGATATTCGTTACATTAGTAATACCTATGTGCTTTTAAAATAAAGTCCGTGTCAGTAAAATGAGTCTCAGTCACCTCGCGCCTGTTGTAGTCAGTGTATAAGCACATCAAGTCAAATTGCTTTTGGCGACTTTCACGTGCTGTAACTCTTGACTGCAACGGTAGTTAGTACGGCTGACGCTCACTCCTCATAATTATCCTTAAAAAAAGGTAAAACTATTACTTATGAAGTTTCCAGTTGTAGCAAAATGCGTTTTGGAAACTAGGGTGACCTCCGCCACTATTTGAATTTGATATATTATTGGGTAAAAGTATACTTGTCGGTATACATTTTTTCAATTTATACAAGCAAGATCATTTCTTTCGTCTTCAGAACTGCGATTTCTGCGAGTATCTCTTGCAACAGGGACATGCTGTTCAGAGTTTCAGAGATTTTTTTTTTTTTTTTTTTTTTCTTCTATGGCAATTGAGTCTCCACTATTTAGTAGTTGACTATTCTGCCAGCGTCATGTGTTACGGCAGGTGTGGGCATTACAGATTATATATATAAATAGAAAAGGGACAAAATCTTCAAGACGTATGACAATTTGACAGATGCATATTTGACACTAACTTTAACACAAACCTGAGAATTGAGTTAATTGCTACAGCATACAGTTAAAGTTATGACGTCATTGAATTATTTGTCAATTGGTGCAACATATGTTTGACCTAGCCGATACTTTAACAGAGCATGTTTGTTATTGTAAAAGTAAGTTGGTGCAACCCAGCCTTAGTTTACTTTATGATTACAAAAAAGTGTATAGTGTAGACAGAAGAGACTAAAATGAGTACTGTTGGTTGACAACAATGGTGAAAACGACGGGGTAGTAAAAGTACGTTGGCATCGTATGCAATACGTACTTATCTTTAAAACTCTTGAGGCAATAGAGGAGGTATAAGGAGGCGTCGCGTGAAGTGTGCTTGGGGAGTCCGAGAGGCGGATCGTCGCCGTCTCTAACAGCTGATGGCGGTCCCCGCGGCCCCGAGCGCCGCCGTCGGGGATTGCGATCGATGACCGCACCCCGCGCGCCGCCCTCACCTCTAGACACCGTCGGACGGGTGCGTCTCACTTTCCCGCTTTTCTTTCCTTCGAACATGTATAGGTAGATGTACCCACTTTGACGCACACCCAAGCCGCGTGTTTTGACTTCTATTTATTGCGTTTCATTTGAACCGCCCGTGGGTAGGTAATTTTACTCCGTGAATAATTGATGTCACCGTAGTAGGTATAATTTATTTATCTAATGATTTTTTGGTTATGTTTATAGTTCGCCTCTTTTTGGCACATCTTTTCTTACATGACATTGTATTATCGAAAAATATTTGGTAGCGATGTTTGCGCACTAGCAACGTATTACTTGGAACTTAAATGCGGTTTACCCAATACCCATGTTTTACTTTCTGATTTAAAGACGTGTTTTAACTGACTTTAAATATTTTTTTATTACTTGGATATTTTTTCTGAGCACTAGGTATAAAATATTATTTTACAGTATTGGTAGACGTACCACTATGGACCTACACGTATCACTGACACAAGGTAACGGGTCTGTTGGAAATCTTCAAAAACTATAACTTTGGAAAACTGCTAAAACTATCGAAATGTTGGTTCTCCGTCTGGGGGCCAATTCTCGGCTTTAGAGATGATGTCGAACTCGACAAAAATGTCTAATGACGTCATTTTTTCGTCAAATTTTAAAAGTTGCTATTCTGGAGATGTCGAATGCGACATTTGTCGAAGGCTAACGTTAGAGTTCATGTCGAGTGCTTCTGAGCAGTAGAGATGGCATGTCGATTGTAGAGATACTGAGATACGCCATTTCTGTGAATTCGTTGAGTTTCGAATTGTACAGTGTTTTCTTTTCCTTCGTTTTAAAGTAAAATACGGCTTGGCATCTTATAAGTATGAACATTGGAAATTCAGTATAGACTCTTCAATTTGTGTATTGTGTTTTCTTGAAACGACGACCTTCGCGTAAATAACAGTCTTTAATTTGTGTACCCACGATTGGACTTGAAACTTGAAACATGGACGAGTTTATTAATATTTTTATCTTGGAGATGTTGGAAAGTGGCGAGCGACTGGCCAATACACGGCGGCAACAGCGCACTTATCCCGTCGTCGATATTTACGACTTGAGCGATAGCGAAGTTGTTAAAAACTTTAGATGAAATAAAAATTTAATCAGAGTTTTAATAGACCTATTGGCTCCTGTAATTCAGGATACCACAAAAATAGACCTAAAAACGAAGGTAAATAATTCTGCTTCATAATTTTATTAGTCTATAAGTATTCCATAAAGTAACCTTACAGACCAAAAATACTAATTGCACACAATCTAAAATACCTAAATTACTTATTTGCACAATCTTTGGTGTACAATAGAATTTCTAGAGTGCAAAAAAGTACTTATCTGTATTAATGGAGTGCACATTATACTTAACCGATTTTATTATAGGTACTAATTGGTATTTTTATTTTAAAATACAGAACTTTATCATTTACCTTCCTACCTACCACTTGGTTATATTATTTCAGGTCCTATGCACTTTACATTTCTTGGGTTTTTTTTTTTTTTTTTTTTTTTAAGGGGGGAAAAATCATCGAATGACTGCTCCCGCCTGGGTGAGGCGGAAGGGAGTGTCAGACTCTTACTGACTAAAAACCACCCCGTTCCTTCTCCTGCACGTCGAGCCGGAGCCCCGGTTACCCGTTAGGTTCTCCGCGACCCCGAATCGGCATCGGCCCTATTGGGCCCCATCTGTGGACATTTCTTGGGTACAGGGAGTTATCAAACTCCAACTGGGAACTTAAACAAAATAAATGTGTCCGATTCTGCATAATGGTAACATTATCTTCACTCGACTCGACATTTTCGTGACATTTGTTTCTATTTTGACTGAGAATACGGATTTCTGTGCAATTCGACATTTTTTGGTAGAGATAGAGATATTTTTGATAGACATAGAGATAGACTTACAATGTCGAACTCGAGATAAATGGCGAAAATCGAGAATTGGCCCCCTGGTCGCAACCCTAGACAGTAGACATGCTATTTATAGCATCGGCGATTGATTATTAGTTAGTTTTCGTTAGCTGGGTGCCTTTTGTTGATGCAATTTTATGGATTCTGACTTATAATAACTAATAATAGGAATATTTCGATTTAATAGAGGATGAAAATTGTTGCTAATTCTACTTTATACATTAGTTCTACTCCAATGCTGCTAGACATAAAAAAATACATACAGCTTTTTTGAATACTAACTTATCAGCTTTTGATAATGTTGGTTGATAGTGTTTTAAATGAGTTAGTTTAAAAGGTCCACTTTTTGCAATTTACTAAATAAGTAAAACTCTGTCATAAAACTGTTGAAGGCAAATTCTTTGTTTACACTGGTCACCAGTGTCCCCCATGGCGTTTAATGTATTAAGAAACTTACTTTTTAGATTTGATTTTTTACTTTTGTTATCGTAGGGAACTTGTAATAAAACAACCAAACAAAATTTTGCAATTCTTTTTCTAAATGGGTGGTATGTTTCGTTTCAGGTGATCGCGCTCATATGCGGCTTGTTAGTAGTGATTCTGATGGTACTGGGTCTGGCGTCGGCCGACTGGCTGATGGCTGCCGGCTGGAGACAAGGCCTCTTCATGCACTGTATAGACCCTGAAGCACCCACGCCCTTGCCCTTCGATATAACTGCACAGCCCGGCTGCTATGCTGCTAGACCCGCGCCTTATATTAAGTAAGTACCTAATATGATTTTTAAGCTTTGCACCACTCTAAACTTAAACTTTCCTTTGGAATCAATCTGTTCACTTATCAAATAAAACCTCATAAGATTCGATTCTGTAGATGAATTTATTTTGGACTCTTCTAATATTTTCACGATTATCACGTCTGCGTAAAGTCTGCGCTAAAATGTTAAATAAACCATTTTTTTTCACGCAGGCTTTTAAGGGTTATAGCTAGATCAAATGGCGTGTCTGGCTACATAGTATTGCTAGATGACAATTATTATTAAATTCGTTTCGGAAGCATAAAGACAAAAGTGATAACATTAATTCAAATGTACAAGTTATCAATATTTCTTAATCTTGTCGTTTATGGCCTCGTGACAGGCAAAGTCTGTAGATACGGAAAGCTATAAGTAGCTTTTCCAATAAATAGAGGCACATCATAGAAATTGTAAATTATGGCGGTATTGATGTGAATAGATCCCTTTCAATACACTAATAGCAATTTAGGTGATTTAGTGGCATTCAAAGGTTAAATAGTTCGACTGGCTAGTTTTACTCTGACCTCTTTTTGTTTGCTAGTTTTTCATGGAATACGATTATTAGTATTGATACTTAATCTTTCATTAATATCTTGTACCTTTTTTTTGTAAAATAATTTTATTGTTTAAGACATACTGAATTAAACAAAGTGTATTTATTACTCATCCATGCTGTTTAAAGCCAATAAGTACCAACAAGGCTCGTATAAAAAATTTACGGCTCCGGTGTGGTTTGAAACCAATCGGGCATACTCGAAACTCGTCAATAGTAAATAAATGACATCGGTTAGATAAGTTTCTTAGGAGATCGTGGGGTTCTTAGGAGGCCTTAGGAGGATATTTCACAGTGCTTGCTATTTCTGACAATCCACTGTTAGACTATTTTTATTTATTTTCCCTTTGTTTTGCCCAGATAAGGGAGCTCCATGAGCGTTTTCTACCTTGGGGTTAAAAGAGTGTGCTTCTTAAGTGTGTTTACTATAAAAAAATCTATGTTCTTTCTCAGAGCGGCAGCCGGGCTGTGCGTGGCGACATTGGCAGCAGATGTCTGTGGCGCCCTCCTGACAGGGTTGGGTCTTCGGTCGGCAGACCACCGCACGAAGTTCCGATACTATCGGTTCGCCGTGCTCGCTATGTCGCTAGCCCGTAAGCTACTATTATTTTCTATTTTGTTCCGCACTAGGATTTTTACAAGGTCTTACAGCGAGATTGTTCGGCATATTTTTATTTTAATACTAGCTTTTACCCGCGGCTTCGCTCGCGTCACAAAAGGATAAAAAGTAGCCTATGTGACATATACCAATACATACAGCGCCATCTATACCAATACTTTTGTTTTCCCTCGGGAATATCAAATGTTTTCGGGATAAAAAGTACCCTATTATTTAATCCAGACTACTAACTTTATGTCTGCAAAAATTCAATGCAATCGGTTTAGTAGTTACGACGTGAAGTCGGAACAAACAAACAAACTCACTTTCCGATTTATAATATTATAATATAGTAAGGATATTAAGGATATTAGTAAGGATTTCAAAAGTACTTTGGTCACTTGACAATATGTGACAGTCGTGCATTTTTTATGAAATACTTTTGTAAGAATTATCTTTTAAATGAAAGTTATTTGAGACCTTTTTATTTGAAAATTAACTACACATGTTCTACACATTACAAAAATTTCTTTTTTTTGTTTCAGTAATGTGCATTTTAATAGCGTTAGTGATCTACCCGGTCTGCTTCGCTGCGGAGTTGAACCTGGGTGAGTTTTTACTTTATTAAAGTACAAAGTAAGTTATTTTAAGCGGCAGTTTTGTGTGAGCCTAAGGTGATTATTATATTTTGCATATACATATATTCCAATGTGTCCGTTACCCAGGCCAGATGTTGTCGAAAATGGTCATTTGAATCTTATAGATCACTAGCTTTTACCCGCGGCTTCGCTCGCGTCACAAAAGCATAAAAAGTAGCATGTGACATATAACAATACACACAGCGCCATCTATACCAATAATTTCGTTTTCCCTCGAGAATATCAAATTTTTCCGGGATAAAATGTACCCTATTATTTAATCCAGACTTCTAAGTTTACATCTGCAAAAATTCAAAGCAATCGGTTCAGTAGTTACGGCGTTAAAGTGGAACAAACAAACAAACTCACTTTCCGATTTATAATATTAGTAAGGATTAGTTTTGAGCCTTCTGTAATTGTTGCGCACATTTTTAAATTTTATAGTTTTTTTTAATTATTTCATAAAAACATTTCCTGTTGGGGTAACGTTATCCCAGCCAGACCTTTTCCTTTCTAATGGGAATATTTAAATAATTACTAGATATAAAATTAGTTGTCTAGATGAAGTAAATGTTGTGCCTTACTTTATTTGTTCTTTCATTGGTTGCGAAGTCATTATTATGCTGGGGTAACGTTTTTGGTTTAGAAATAGTTAAGCGGATACTTGTCACGTTTTGTACATTGCTTTTTAGGAATTAGTTTAAATTTGTTCTGCAATAAAAAAACCAAAGTATTACATAGCTTTTCGCTTTTTCGTTACCACCTAAACTTGGTCGGGTTTAACACCTAAAATAAAGCACAACATTTACTTCATCTAGACAACTAATTTTATAGCTAGTAAATTTTTAAATATTCCCATTAGAAAGAAAAAGGTTGGGGTAACGTAACCCCAGCAGGAAATGTTTTTGTGAAATAATTAAAAAACAACAAGTTTAAAAATGTGCGCAACAGTTACAGAAGCCGCAAAACTAATTATCTAAAAGATTCAAATGACCATTTTCGACAACATCTGACCTGGGTAACGCACACTATTCCAATCAAGAAGATTGTAGAAAGAGCGTACGAAATTTTTTCGTAAGTTGTAAAAAGTATATCAGTGGATTTATACAAGTGCTGAGCAAAACCTCTTCTCACACGAAGACACATTTATCACCACACCTGCTGAAGACGGGGTTGGTTTGTAACAATACGATATATCTTTTGAAAATAACAAACATTCAGAAATGATAAATTACTTTTATTGATATTTTACGATATAATTTGCAAACTTTGGAGTGAGGCAAGCGAGCGATCTCAGTAATTTATCGTGAATCGTACGTAATGTCTTATTGAAGTACATTTTATTATTACATTCAACTTTTCCCATTCTCTTCGGTTTCGAACATTTGAAGTTCAGATAAGTTTTGTATGCCACAGGGACTCGAATGTAATGAAAGAATTTTGTAAATGTCTTTTTCAGTTTGAAAGGTTTGTGCTCAAGTTTTAGGCCTAAAAGTTACATTTATTGATAATCTGTGCACTTTCATATAATATACATTACGTTTATATTGTTCAGAAAGACTGTACGGAATGTATCTATTAATTTTGCCTTTGACTGCCGACAGAAAACTGTTGAAGGCAAATCCTCAGCTAACGTAGGTCTTCGGTGACCGACACGGCGGTTGACGTGTTAGGTTGCAGTGTCTTTTCACAGTTCACTTATTGTGACCATTCTCTAGAGAATTTTGACTCATTTTAAGTCCAAATAATCCAGATTTTATCCTGTCTTTGAGGCATCATAATGATATCCTATTCTTAACTTTTATATACATTTAGTGTCGATTTAGTTCTTATGTTACGTTTGTACACAGGTAATAGATCGGTATGGGAATTTGGCTGGGCGTACGGTGTTGGGTGGGGCGCCGCCATCTTCCTGTTCGGTGCCGTCGTCTTGTTACTCTGTGACAAGGAGAGCGAGGAGCTCTACTACAAGGAGCGGAAAGTGAGTTTTGACACTTTACTACACATTTTCTGCGTTAAAATTTCAATACGTCAGTTTATTTTAATTTACTTGTTATCAAAATTTAACATGAACCATCTGCAAGTTTGTGGATTGGCTTTACTAAGCCAATCCACAAACTTGCAGTTTGCTTTTGCTTATTGTATATTATTTTCCTTAATGCATTTCTCTTTTGTTGCAGGTGGTGAGCGCGGAGCCGGGCGCGCGCCCCTAGGGCCGCGGGCGCCTGCCCGACCTGGTGCCGTGAGGCGCGCGCTAGCGGCCCCGGCCGCTGGGTCTAGCCGCGCCACTCTAGCCCGCCCACACCACCCACCACGTCATGCCGACCTACCCAACCGCTCACTCTTGAACTAACACACGACGCTTAACATCACTATCTACGAACACCAGTCTAATGGAGGCCATACACGTTAGGCCCTATTTGCACGAGAGTTACATCTGCTAGTATATGTTCATACGAACAGCGTTTTTACCTAGCAGTGTTGCATTTTCAATGCTGAGCTTAAATTGTAATTTAGTCATTAAAGACTAAATTACAATTTAGTCTATTTTATATTTCAACAAGACGTTAAAAAACTAGATGCGAGACTCGTGCGATTGGTGCATTAGGGTTTGCATGATGGTTTTAATCTTACATGCATAACCGTCGAGCAAGTCCTTAACTTGTGACAAAACAAATCAGTATAATGTGTATGGCTGCATTTATTGAATCACAAGTTTGAAGTTGACGAAGTTGACACTAGTTCCATAGAATATGTGTCAACAGTTAATCTTTTGCAGTTAAATCTAGCTACAGGATATTTGTAGATAGTGATGATAAACCACGGTTTAAGTGTGAGCTGTTTGATAAAGGTAGTAGCCTGGGTGACGTGACTGCGACCATGTCAGGTCGAACCCACATGAAGTCGTACTCACGTCACTCAGTGCCGGGGAAGCGACTTGTCGATGCTATATCGGACTCATCGCAATACTAGCGACTGTCCCGTTGTTTTTGTTGTTCCAAGATATCATAGTACTTGACTGTCCAAATTAAATTATAATTATATATCGCGTTATTTGCGAGTCGTACTGAATTTGTACTGTAAATTAAATACTTGTTATTTATAGAGCAATGGTAAATAATAGAAAAACAATACTTCGTCGGCCATTACCAGTGTAAGTGCTATGATTCTTTTGTAGATTCTTAGTTTGTATTAATTTATGTTATTATAGTTTCCTTTGTAGTGTTAGTATGACTTACCTCGGTTGATTATTTTTATTTTGTAGTATTGTGTTGATTTGTAATTTTTATTTTGATTGGTAACAGAAACGATAAGATCTGAAAGCGAGAGATTAACTAAAATCTACTTAATAAGTGAGAATCGCCTTATTCGGGATATATTTTTGTGTTTTTTTTTAATTTTTTTAAGTGTGGTATTATAATTTGGCGCCTCGTGATGAGCGGACCACATTCAGACCGTGTGTGTACTGGTGTACCTCGAATGTAATCCGTTCCAAAGAGCGTTAGTATTAGTTTGGTAGAACGTGTCGCTGAGTGGACGTGTGGCGGGGGGGCGCGGGGCGCGGGCCGCGGGCACAGGGCAGGCGACCCTCGGGAGTGTGGCCGTGTGACGGACGACTAGTGTATGTACTGTATGTACTGTATGTGACTACGTGTGGCGGTGGCCGACACCGTCGCCACCGCGATATCGGACTATGACTACTCACGTATTTAAAGGAATTAAATATATGTTTTGATTAAAGTTACCCTTAGTATCGTATTATACCTACTTCATATTTGAAAACTATTTTATTAACGATTATATAAATAGGAATCATGTCTGACTGTGTGAGCCGTACGATGTACGCAGGACGCAGATTGATTGAGATTAATTTCGATTGTATTAGTGATGTCTAGAATCTCGTTGGTTTTACTATTTTGTAAATCTCAAAGTTTGGAATTGAAGATTATTTAAAAATTATATTTTCTTAATATTTATGTAAACGTAATGGAACAATTAATTGACGAGTAAAATTCGTAATAATTATAAAATAGTGGTAATTATATGTGTAAGTGTAATATTTGTGGACATTGTAATAATGGCATGCCATGTGTGTTTGTCTAACAATGCGAAGTTGCAGCTTCGTATTTATTTTATTGTCGAATATTCTTGGTCAAGGCTTTAATTTTTAACGTATTTTATTGGTCAATGCATAAATCAATGTTTTATTCCTAAAACGTAATATAAACGCACGACTTCCTATTAATTTTGTGCAAAATGTAAGAATATCTTTTTATAACTAATTTTGTATTGTAAAGATCTGGCTAGCGGAAACTGTCTAATTAGTTTTATAAAATTGTTTATTGTGATAAAAAGCAGCTATTTGTAATCGTTGATGTGATCGATTGAGGCTTTGCATTATTCGTGTTTTCATATCGCGAGCGCTGCAGCTTGTGCGCTTGACGAAGATTTCGATTTATCCACATATTCACCCAGTCGACCGAAACATTGTAATATTGATTCATATATTTACATACTTCCAATTACAGTATAATAAATGTAGCTAACTTGAACTTTCCCTTCGCGAAACCCGTTATTCGCTCTTAGTCACTACTTTTTAAGAAACACGGAATTCTCAACCTAATTATATTAACAAATTGAGTTATTTTCGACCTCCCTTAAAATTTTGACATGTAAAATCTACTAATCATTTTTATACACTAAGCTTTACTTTAGGATTATGTCAAATTTTATTTAAGTACAAGGCTAAACTAGATTTAAGTTTTTATAGCAATAATTGTTGCTCTCATCATTAGTCCGTTAAATATGAATAAATATTTAATAAATCCACACTGCCATGTAACAATTAACTTACATTTCTTTGTAAGTCATATTAATTTTACTGTAGTCATAATAAATAACATTAAATTATTGAAACTTCCTAATATAAGTGTACATTTTACATAGAAATGATAACCCCTTGTAATTGATATTGAATTACATTAGCTACTTAATTTTATGCACCTTGAACGTACTTGGACATGCTTGTGATCCATATAAAATAATATAGAAAATGTAATTGTTACACTTAATGCATCTGTTTGTGCAATCGAAGTACCCGTTAATTAATCCAGTGAATGAACTTTTACTAAATTAATATCAAAACATTTCTTTTACCTATAAAGTGTTTCCTTATTTCATGCAAATTGTTGTTTTACGAAATATTCTATAGCTTATAAACTCGGCTGTCCAAGTACATCAGTTATATAACATTACAATTTTCTTAGCCAAATTATGAGTCATATCAAATGAGATTGAATAAAGTAACTAGTAAAAATTGTGTGTATATTATTTTATTATCCATTATTAACCCATTTATGATGGTGATGGTCTACCCTGCGTGCATTAGTCAAGATATGTTTAAGGTTTTACAAATGGGCCCACTCAATCCAAGGTCGCGCCCACCCTGTCCGTCAATTAGTGAACACGTCTGTAGTGAGGGTGTGTATATGGGGTCGGGGGTAACGAAAATCTCGTTATTTTTCAGCTACAGCATCTAAATTTTTAGATTTGCTAGATTTTTGACTGAAAATTATTATTATTCAATAAGATAAGTGGTAATGGTCGAGGCTGTGTCCGTTACCCAGGCCAGATGTAGTCGAAAATAGTCATTTAAATCTTATAGGTAATTGATTTTGCGGCTTCTGTAATTGTTACGCACATTTTCTAATTTCTGGGGTTATAGTTTTTAAATTATTTCACAAAAACATTTCCTGCTAGGGTAACGTTATCCCAGCCAGACCTTTTTCTTTCTAATGGGAATATTTAAATAATTATTTGTATTTGTTCTTTCATCGGTTGCGAAGTTATTCGAGATTTTGCTGGGGTAACGTTTTTGGTTTTGCTAGATCTTTGGAATGGTTAAGCGGATTCTTATCATATTTTGTACATGGCTTCTGATGAATTAGTTTAAATTTTTGTTCTGCAATTAAAAATCAAAATAATACATACATAGCTTAAAGGTCATTTCATTAAATAAAAAAACACTTCAATTGGTCTTAAGCACTCTCAATAAGAGCTCTAAAGACTTTAAACGTTATTTTAAAGCTTGTAACTGCCTATATGATGTTATGTGTGAAGTTTCATTAGTATCCTGTAAGTATTTAAATGTTATGATGATATTGAGTTCTTCACGAGCACGGTTTTGATACGCACGGTGTTATTTAGCTACTGGATTGGATATATGAACTGAATGTTATATCAATTACATATTAGTTGTTTAGTACAGTTGTATATCAGTAAAATTTCAACCCAGTACATTGGATAATTAATGAAATAACACGATTAAAGTCATTAGGAAGTGAATAAACGTGGTAACCCGACCAAGTTTAGGTGGTTACGAAAAATCAGTGTGCATTACCCAGGCCAGATGTTGTCGAAAATGGTCATTTGACTCTTATAGATAATTAGTTGTGCAGCTTCTGTAATTGTTGCGCATATGTTTAAATTTGTTGCGCTTATAGTTTTTTAATTATTTCACAAAAACATTTCCTGCTGGGGTAACGTTACCCCAGCCAGACCTTTTTCTTTCTAATGGGAATATTTAAATAATTACTAGCTATAAAATTCGTTGTCTAGATGAAGTAAATATCGTGCCTTGTTTTGTATTTGTTCTTTCATCGGTTGCGAAGTTATTCCTGATTTTGCTGGGGTAACGTTTTTGATTCTAATAATAATAATAACTCTTTATTTCAGACTCTAAGATCAATAGTTACATGCACAATAGTTAATTAATACAAATATAATTATAAAATATAACAAAAAAAAAATTGATAATTGTATATGTACCTAAATAAACTGATTAATAACATGGCATTAAAGGTGTCAATATGAGCATCAAAAAACATCCCCGAAGCACTGCAACCTCTCGGTAGTCCCATGAGTTGCCTGTAGACGTTGTTGTATGTGACTCTGATGGCATTGTGTGATTTTTTTGTATAATTAGTTAGTGCAGAGTTGACACGTGTAGAACGTCTGACAAAATGATTTAAACAGTGTTACTTTCACGTCAGGCGCTGCACTACAAAAATTTTCTGGCGATCATATTGCTAGATATTTTGCTAGATTTTTGAAATGGTTAAGCGGATTCTTATCATATTTGGTTCATGGCTTCTTATTAATTAGTTCAAATTTGTTGTGCAATAAAAAAAACCAAATAATAATTAGCCTTAAAGTTATTTCATTAAATAGAAAAACACTTAAATTGGTCCTAGTAGTAAAGTAAGTCTTTAGAGCTCTTATTGAGAGTGCTGGGACCAATTTAATTGTTTTTCTATTTAATGAAATAACTTTTAAGAGTTTTAAGCTATTTATTATTTTGGGTTTTTTATTGCACAACAAATTTGAACTAATTAATAAGAAGCCATGTACCAATATGATAAGAATCCGCTTAACCATTTCAAAGATATAGCAAAATCAAAAACCTTACCCCAGCAAAATCTCCAACTTAGCAACCGATGAAAGAACAAATACAAAACAAGGCACAACATTTACTTCATCTAGACAACTATAATTTTAAAACTAGTAATTATTTAGATAATTCCATTAGAAAGAAAAAGGTCTGGCTGGAGTAACGTTACCCCAGCAGGAAATGTTTTTTGTGAAAGAAATTAAAAAACTATAAGCGCAACAAATTTGAAAATGTGTGCAATAATTACAGAAGCCGCAAAACTAATTATCTGTAAGATTCAAATGACCATTTTCGACAACATCTGGCCTGGGTAATGCACACGTCTTTTTTTTTTTTTTTTTTAAGGGGGGAAAATCATCGAATGACTGTCCCCGCCTGGGTGAGGCGGGAGGGAGTGTCAGACTCTTACTGACTAAAAACCACCCCGTTCCTTCTCCTGCACGTCGAGCCGGAGCCCCGGTTACCCGTTAGGTTCTCCGCGACTCCGAATCGGCATCGGCCCTATTGGGCCCCATCTGTGGTGGTCTGATGGCTCTTTGAGGCGCGCGCGGAACGCGACGCGCCGTACGCTCGGGTCTGTTTCTGGTCGGACGGGGAGCCACCCATGCTCGCCGTCCGCAGGCCCGCGCTTACGGTGGCCGGAGATCGTCCCGCGATCCCCGACGCCCGGTGTGTCCTTCGCGATGGCTGGGTTGCGAGGAGGCAGCGCTTCGCTGCCTCACGCGTCCCGCCTCCTCCTTAGCTAGCATGACTGCTTCGCAAAAGGAGGAGACGGCATCCCAATCCCCCTCGCTCCGCATCATGGCCTGCACTAGGCCCGGACGCGAGAGGTCGCCATCGCCGATCACTTCCCTGAGGACACGGCGGTGCTCAGCCCACGAAGGGCATTCTCCCACCGTGTGTTCCACCGTGTCCTCAGGGCGGTCCTCGCAGTGATGACACCCGGGCGTTTCCTCCCGCCCCATCAGACACAGGTACCTCCCGAAACTGCCATGTCCGGTGAGGACCTGCGTCAGGCGGTAGGTGAGGACGCCGTAGCGTCTCTCAAGCCACTCCTCAAAGAGGGGACTTACCGCTGCAATGGCAGCGAGCCCAGCCCTCGGTTGCGACAGTCGTTGCTGCCATTCCGCCATGAGATCGCGCCGGAGCTCATCTCGCCACGCACTTATCTGGCGCGGCAGCGGAGTTTCGCCCCGGCGACGTGCCTCCGCGCGCATGCTGTGCACGCGCGCGAGCACCTTCGCCTCCAGATCCCACGGCGGTAATCCGGCAAGGAGGTTCGCCGACTCCCCAGAGATCGTGCGGTATCCGCGGATCATTCGGATCGCCATGACCCTCTGTGCCATGAGCAGCGTCCGAGCGGGACGCCGCAACAGGTTAGGCGCCCAAACAGGGGCGCCGTAGAGGGCCATGGACCGCACGACCCCGGCGTATAACCTCCGGCAGGAGGCGTTTGGCCCCCCGAGGTTGGGGAGGATGCGTTTAAACGCAGCCCCCGTCCTCTCCAACTTTGGAGCCAAACGTCGGAAGTGTTCTATGAAGTTCCACCGACTGTCGAGGACGAGTCCTAGGTACTTCATCGTCGTCTCGACGCCGATGGTAACTCCTCCCGCCGTTATTTGGGACCCACCCGGAGGTGGCGCGTTCCCGCGGCCATGAAAACACATGGCCTCGGACTTGTGGAGCGCCACCTCGAGTCCCAACTGCCGGATTCTCTCAACGACTGTCGCAACCGCTGTCGCCATTAAGTCGGCCGCCGCCTGGTGTGACCTCCCGTGCGCCAGCACCAGCGTATCGTCGGCGTAGCATATAGTGCTAACGCCGTTCGGGAGGTCGGTGCGCAGCACCCAGTCATAGCCGATGTTCCACAGGAGCGGCCCCAGAACCGAACCCTGTGGAACACCGCGTGACATCTCTCGCCGGTTCCACTCGCCCCGGTGACCGGGGTAGCTGACGGACCTGTCCGTCAGGTAAGCCTCGATTACACGACGGAGGTAGGTAGGCACCCGATGATATCGGAGTGCCTCCAAGATGCAGCTCCAGGGCAGGGAGTTGAAGGCGTTGGCGATGTCCAGAGACACCGCCACTACGACCTTACCCCTGGACACTGCAGTCCCCGTCGTGAGGTCTCTAACGCGCATGATGGCGTCCACCGTGGAGCGCCCTCTGCGGAAGCCGAACTGGCCGTCCGACAAGTCCGGCCCAATGTCCGTCAGGTGCGCGACGAGGCGGTTCGAAATGATTCTTTCGAAGACTTTCCCCACCTCGTCGAGCAACACTATGGGCCGGTACGCGGACGGAGAGTCCGCAGGGCGCCCCGTCTTCCGCACGAGGACCAGTTTTCCCGCTTTCCAGAGAAGCGGGAACTGGCCTCTCTCCAGACATGCGCTGTAGAGACCAATCAATCGAGGCCCGAGAGCCTCTGAGGCCAGGACCCATGCCTTGCCATGCAGGCCGTCGGGTCCCGGGGCGGTGTTCTTGGCGCCCATCCGGCGCACCGCCGCTCTCAATTCTGCCTCGGTCACCTCTGGGACGATGTCGTCGTCGTCGTCGCTGTAGCCCGCGTCGGGCACCGCAGGGGGCGGAGTCATATACGGAGGGGTGAACCCCCTCCACAGTCGAGGGAACAGGGTGCCAATCACCTCCTCCAAGACTTCTTGCCGGAGACTCTGGGTGAGCGGGGGAGCCCAGGCGCGGAGCTTGTCGCGTACCATCCGGTACGGGCGTCCCCACGGATCTCTGTCCAGAGTCCCCAGCATCTCTCGGCGGGCCTCCTCCTTGGCCCGCAATATCTCCACCTTGAGGAGGGCCTTGGCCGCCCTGTATCCCTCGTACAACTCCGCCTCTCTCGCCTCCGCATTAGGAGGACGGATGCGGCGCCTGCGGTGCCTAGTGTACTGGCGTCGCGCAGCAGTGCACGCCTTGCGTAGAGCTGCTAGCTCTTGCGACCACCAGTACACCTGGCGCTTTTGTTGCCTCGACCGGATCCGGGGCATCGCCACGTCACAGATCCTGGACATGGCGTCCTGGAGCCACTTGGCCTCATCGTCTATGTCGGCAGGCCTGACCGGTGGTATCACCCAGGCCTGCACGATGGCGGCTTCCAGGAGCAGCTCCCGGTCCAGCTGTTTCAGCGCCCAACGCGGGCCACATGGGGCCTGTCTGACCGGCGGGTCTGCGGACTCGGCGGAGACGTCGAACCGGATATACCGGTGGTCGGAGTACGTCTCCACCTCCTCCATGACGCGCCAGCCAACAATACGCGGTGACAGAGCAGGGCTGGCGAACGATATGTCCACCACCGACTCGCCCTGCATCCGCACACACGTGGGGACAGAACCCCGGTTCAGGACGACTAGGCCTGTCTCAAGGGCCCAGTCTTCCACCATCCTACCCCGGACGTCGGTGAACCGGGAACCCCAAGCCAAGTTTTTGGCGTTGAAGTCCCCGAGGACGAGCACGGGGAGGGAACGGAACCCGACGACGACAGTGACCAACTCCCTCAAGGAGTTGTGGAACTCGGCGAGAGTTCGGTTCGGAGAGAAGTACACGCCCACCACAGCGAGCTCTCCGAACCGTGCTGCGACACAACCCCGGCCTCTTTGAGCAGCCTCAAGAGTCGGGGTACCGGCGGCGGCCGACGAGATGATGGTCACCGAGCCGTCCAGGTCCGCCACCCAGTGATCCCTGGGCAGGACAAAATACGGCTCGGAGACCACGGCGACATTGATCGACCACTGCGCCATGCTCTGGAGCAGGAGATCCTGAGCAGCGGCGCAGTGGTTGATGTTCGCCTGGAGGAGGCGGAATGGAGCCACTATTGACAGTCCATTCCGACCTCCTCAGTGGCGGCAGCGGCGACTGCGGTGGCAGTGGCGGCGGCGGCGGAAACGGCAGGGGCGGCGGAGGGCCTACCTTTGCCCCTTTTAGCAGGAGGGGAGCAGCCCTTGCTCCCGACCCGGTGATTGGCCGGCTTGTCAGCCGCTGCACATGCGTTGCAGTGCAGCGGGGCGTTGCACGAGCCGGCCTTGTGACCGGGCCGACCGCAGCGGAAGCAACAGTCGCTGCGGTCCACCTCCGAGGTGCATTTGACACTCACGTGCTCAATGCACACGTCTAGGTTGGCGTGTGTGAAACATTATTCCGGGTCTAGGTGTATGTGTGTGAATTTCTGCACAAAATAAAAAACCAGAGGGGTAAGGATTTCTTTAAAATAAAAATTCATATGTAAAAAACTTAAGATTTATTTGACATAATAGTTGAGGAATAACACTAGGAGAATTTTACAATACAAGATAATAGTAATATCATCCATTAAAAAATTACATTACATGATCAATTTAATTAATCATATCTTCAGGTGGATTATTAGTTTGACATTTCTTAATTAACACACTATAATACTAAAAAATTAAGTAAAAAGAACCTAAACTTCGACTCCAGAGAGTGTCTTTATGCTTGCGATTAATTTTTTGTTGGCGTCTTTGTAATCTACTGGTTGTACGTTTATTACTGTTGTTTTGAGACGGGCTTCATCCTGTAAAATAAATGGTTTGTGAGTTAATAAAAACATTTTGAATTATTTATTAAAATATGCATCAAAATACAAAAGTTCAGATGATGTATTAGGGATTAATAATATTAGATTTTTAATGTATCGGATTCTGCTTAGGATTTATTCAGTTCAGTTAAATTAGAATCAAACATCAAGCAAATACATGTAAATTAGGTAAAAAGTACAGAGCAGCATCTTACGTTGTATGTTTCCATTTTGGTGCGGAACTTGAACACGAAGGTCTTAAATTTGACTTCTTCAAACATTTGAGTGTAGCCAGTCTTGTCGTATTCGAACAAGCGACCGATTTCCGCGACGTTTTTACCGAGCATCGCCTCCGCAGCCTCGTTAAAGGCGGTTATACGCTGATCGCCAGTTGCATCTGATACGTTAGCCTGTGGCAAAGGTAATAAATATTATTAGGCCATGTATTACCTGACAAGCGAAGTTTAATAGAATTGTTTGCTTGGTTTTTGCGCTAAAAAGTATTCAATCAATAAGGTAGAATGAATGCAAGTAAGCAAGATACATATGTCATAGAGTAAATATTTACGCTATCAAGAACATAACTTTTTTTTATGTTACTTACCGCCAATAAAAGCCTGTATTTAAAGTTAGGGTACTCTCTGTTGCATTTTTCACATCTGTACAATCCATTTTCTTGGTCGACGAGTTTCTTGTTGCATTGTTCTTGGGGACACGCCTTGTACACTGCGTTGTCAGCGAACGTGAATGTAAGTACCCCGAGGAGACTGAAATAATCGCCTTTGTCACCAGACCCGAGTTGACGAGCCTCAGCGTCAGAGAAGGTGATCCATTCGTTACTGCCGCCTGTATAGCCTCCAACTCTGTAACGTGCAAAAATACACAGAGTTTTTAGTACAGTGCAGTGTAACAGTGTTAGTGACGATAGTTAACACACAATTTTATGTCTTAGAAGTTGGATAGAAATAATTTGCTAACCATAACCAATACCGCCTAAGGCACTTCAAGCACACTTTGCAATATCTTTTTAAGATTACATAAAATTAGTTGCTGAATATGGTTTAGCAAAACTTTTATATAACACAATTTTGAAATACATAAATTAATACAGTTGATAACTTACCTAGCAGAAATATTATTAATCTCCATGTCGGCGCCACCATTGTCGTACCAGCCTCGTAACTTGTGTGCCTCCGGGAGATCAGGGTTCTGTCTGATCATGGAGCTCGCTAGACAGGATAGTGACTTGCTACCGTTAAACTCAGAAAGACGTGCGCCCTAAAACGTAAATTACAAACTTGTTAATATTTAACTTCATCAGTCTTGGACCATGATGGGCCGAAAATCTAATTGGTCAAGTTTAATACTTTAATGTGTGCGTTACCCAGGCCAGACGTTGTCGAAAATGGTCATTTGAATCTTATAGATAATTAGTTTTGCGGCTTCTGTAATTTTTGTGCACATTTTTAAATTTTTTGCGCTTATAGTTTTTAATTATTTCACAAAAACATTTCTTGCTAGGGTAACGTTATCCCAGCCAGATCTTTTTCTTTGTAATGATCATATTTAAATAATGACTAGCTATAAAATTAGTTGTCTAAATGAAGTAAATGTTGTGCCTTATTTTGTATTGGTTTTTTCATCGGTTGCGAAGTTATTCGAGATTTTGCTGGGGTAATGTTTTTGATTTTGCTAGATCTTTGAAATGGTTAAGCGGGTTCTTATCATATTTTGTACATGGCTTCTTAGGAATTGGTTTAAATTTGTTATGCAATAAAAAAACCAAAATAATACATAGCTTAAAGGTTATTTCATATAGCATAGCAAGCTACCTCCCTACCAATTTTTAGCCAAATCTGTTCTGCCGTTTTTAGTTAAGTGGTGTAACTAACACGACTTTCTTTTATATATATAGATTTAAAACGATAATTTTATAATGCCAACTTACTTTTACTGCTATAACTGGGTTTGTGTTGTTGTCAAAGTTTTCAGCTTCCTTTCCCCATAGTGTCAAGACAACCTAAAATAAATTAAAACTTTTAATATGTGACAACTATTTAACAATAATTTTAATATTAATAGATACTAATGGTATACTAACTGCACCACCAGAGTTATCAACTAGGATCAGTTCTCTCTTCTTCAATAACTTGCCCGTACTTCTAGCAGTCAGCTCTTGAAGATCTGCTGCCGATTTACATACACCAATCACATCTGGAAATAAAAAAGTATGTTTACAAACAGTCTGGAAGTAAACAGTACTATTTATAAGACGATATTTATCCAGGTCTAGTAATGAAAATACCTATCTCAAAGAGGCAACATAAAAAAAATTGTTCCAGTCTGTAAAGTTCATAAACTTTACAGACTTCGCAACCGATGAAATAACAAATACGAAATAAGGCACAACATTTACTTCATCTAGAAAACTGATTTTATAGCTAGTTAATATTAAAATATTCCCATTAGAAAGAAAAAGGTCTGGCTGGGGTAACGTTACCCCAGCAGTAAATGATTTTGTAATATAATTAAAAAACTATAAGCGCAATAAATTTTAAAAATGTGCGCAACAATTACAGAAACCGCAAAACTAAATATATTTTAATATAAGATTCAAATGACCATTTTCGACTACATCTGGCCTGGGTAACGCACACCATAAAAAGTCATTGTCGAGTTTTTCACAAACACAACTTTTTTAAAACAACGTAATAATATGCAAGGATAAATCTATATTACCTAGCAATGTATCGACATTTTTCGCAGCAATATCATTAATGGGCACGAAGTCGTACTTGATACTGGGCACAGATGACGAGTCTTCCATACATTCAGCAACAACTGTGTTAGCTGTGAACGTCATCTCATAATCGTTCTTCATACTCGTAAACTGCTTGTTAGCAGTTTTCAGCTGACACCGACTTATGTAGTATACTTTATCCACCTGGGAATATTAAAAAAGTGTGTACTTAACCATTTATTTGTTTTTTAAAAACAGTGTAAACCACACAATACTTTATTTATAAAATGAGTTACAAAATAGTATTTACTTTTGTTAACTAAGAAAAAAAACATATTAGACAACAAACAAAAACACTCAGTAACCGTACTTGATGATTATTTTAATAGCAAGAAAATTAATAACCATGCAAACATACAGAGTATAATGAAAACCTTTTTTCTTGCCTACCTGTATCATATCATAGAACTTGTCACATTCATTTTTGAAGGCTGTAGCCCGTATTTCACCGCTATCATCACACAAGTCCATACTGAAGAGCTTGCCTTCTCCTCGAGCATTGTTCCAAGTGCGGATATCAGACTTGGACATTACACGGGCTTTTATTACCCATCTGGAAAAAATAACAAGTTGATGATGTCTTATTGGACTTATATAAAGCAGTTTGTTACTGGAATATGTCATTTTGGAATTTTGTGGCCTTAGAATATATCATGAATTTGAATTTCATTAGTATCTGTCTTAGTATAGATGTAATTGTATCACAACCTCTATTTTATCTGCTTCATAATTCAAAGTAAAAAAAACATAACATGAAAGATATGTAAGATAAATATTACAATTGCAAGTAACAAATAACAAGTTAAAAATGTCTATATTTAGTTTAAGTATCTTACTTGTTTTGGTAGGGGCTAAGACTAGCAATGGGGTGTGTCATCTGTGTAGACAGCAGACTGGAGTCAAGGTTTGGTGTTGGAGTGATCATTGATTTGGCTGCGGGAGATGGAGCGGGGCGTGGCGCGGGCGCCGGTGCGGCCTGCGCGGGCGCCGCTGCCGCCGTCTCCTCGCTCCACGTCTGAGGGTTCCCAATCTTTTTTCCAACTTCATTGCCAGGAGTTACTATTGTAATGTCTAGGATGATCATCACTCGTCTGTTGAGAATAAAATTGGAGTTAATATATTAATATTATAACTGTAGAAAATTGTTGTTTTTAAACATTATCAATCTAAAGTTTTTCAAGCTTAAATCAACCTTAGTAGCATAGTACCAAAACACATATTACAAAAAACTACAAAAGATATTCTTACTTCTCTCCTTTGCCAGTATTTTTCAGTAATGAAGTGACAAAACGATCAATCTGAACCACAGAGTAGTCAGACAGTTCTCCAGATATCAGTTTATCATTTAGTTGTGTAGCCAACATAGCAAAGCTGTGCGAGTGTTTCCCATCAGACACAAGTAGACGGAACCTTTCATTAGCGCCACTGCCTTGTATCTTCTTACTCCCTAGTACTTGCATTATTGGTTTATCATACACTCCTCCGTTCATTATCACCTGAAATTAGAAATCAGTGGATCAACTTAAAGGCCGACTTTTAGAAATAAAATGCTAATTAGATCGCATGTATACAATGATAGTGAGAATCTTAAATAGCAGAGTTACTGGGGTATGATAACAGTGAGTTCTGGTGCATTGGTTGAAAATGAACAAATATGTCAATACTTTGAGTAATGTTGTTTATTGTAGCGTTAATTTTTCATTCCATGCAAAGCACTGAATAACTTACTTTGTAATCAATTACAACATGTATAAACAAGTTGCAACCTGTTCTACTGTCATCAAATTATGTCTTAAGTGCCTTAATTTTCGTTTAAGTTACATTAAATGTATTGTAATAAAGCTTTTACGGAGGGAAATAAAAAGATTACGTATTATTATTATGATTTACACCAATTTGAGATCAGGGTGTATTATTGTGCCGTATAAACTTACCTCCAAAGAGCCTTCAGATAATTGATGACCCATTTTGAAACCAATTAACGTTTAAAGTTCACCAAATAAGTCTTTATAAGCACAATCAAATATTTATATGGTAAAAAACAAAGAAATAATGCAAAATATAAAACTATTCCAACGTTCTACTGCCGGTTTTTCGGAGGCGCGCGAAATTATGGATGACAGATGACACTTGACAGTAGATATTTGACATAGCAGAAAATACTCCACAGATTATAGCGTAGTGCGACCATAGAGATTTTTCTTGCAAATTGTCTACGAACTGTTTCCAGTGCTTCTACCTACTATTGTACCTATTTTGTTGTAGAAAATGTGTACATTTTCTTGCAGATGCAATATTAGGTATATTTCTATTCATTTCCTTATTTCAAAAGATTGAAACTATCGCTTGTAGTTTTTTTTTTAATAGGGGGAAAATCATCTAAAGACTTCTCCCGCCCGGGTGAGGCGAGAGGGAGTGTCAGACTCTTACTGACTAAAAACAACCTCGTTCCTTCTCCTGCACGTCGAGCCGAAGCCCCGGTATCCTGTTTAGGTTCTCCGCGACTCCGAATCGGCATCGGCCCTATTAAGCCCCATCTGTGGTGGTCTGATGGCTCTTTAAGACGCGCGCGGAACGCGACGCGCCGTACGCTCGGGTCCGTTTCTGGTCGGACGGGGAGCCACCCATGCTCGCCGTCCGCAGGCCCGCGCTTACGGTGGCCGGAGATCGTCCCGCGATCCCCGACGCCGGGTGTGTCCTTCGCGATGGCTGGGTTGCGAGGAGGCAGCGCTTCGCTGTCTCACGTGTCCTGCCTCCTCCTTTGGACCTTAGCTAGCATCGCTTCGCAAAAGGAGGAGACGGCATCCCAGTCCCCCTCGCTCCGCATCATGACCTGCACTAGGCCCGGACGCGAGAGTTCGCCATTGCCGATCACTTCCCTGAGGGCACGGTGGTGCTCAGCCCACGTAGGGCATTCCCCCACTGTGTGTTCCACCGTGTCCTCAGGGCCGTCTTCGCAGTGATGACACCCGGGCGTTTCCTCCCGCCCCATCACACAGTTACCTCTCGAAACTTTCATGTCCGGTGAGGACCTGCGTCAGGGGGTAGGTGAGGACGCCGTAGCGTCTCTCAATCCACCCCTGAAAAAGGGCTAGCTGGCGGTGTGGCCTGTGCTTTAGGGAATAGGGGGCACTGGCACTTTCTACTTTTAATCATTTTTCAACACATATTAGTGAACAAATTTTTATTGTATTGAGATCACGCTTCTTAGGGTGCGACATCTGGCGAATGTGCCGTGAATGTGCAGCTCGCGAGCCGTTTGCGACCTGCCCGCGAGCTGCGCGCGTGCATTTTTGTTCGTGCGCCGCTTCTGCGCCGCCCGCGCGCAGTTCGCGCGCGACCTAAGCGCCGTACGCGATCAGCGTGCGGGCGGCGGCGCGCTAGTTATTTCACTAGAGTCGTCTGACATCTTCGATAGTACTAACCAGTAAACGGAACTGGGGCGAGAACTGAGCGCGCGCAGATCGCGCGTCGCTCGCGCGCTCTATACGAGCCTTGTATGAGTTGCGCTAAAGAGGCGCACCAAACCATTGCAGTGACTGCACGCGCGCAGCTTGCGGGCAGCTCGCAATCGGCTCGCGTGCTGCACATTTGCGGCACATTCGCCAGATGTGGACGCACCCTTACATGTAGGCCGTATCAAAGTATACTCCTTAAAGAACAACGCAGATGTCTGCATAATGAGTATCACCGTCGCTTATACAAATGAAAATAAACAATTTCATACATAGATACTTGTACCATCAAAACCATTTATTTCACGAATAACAATACATAAACATCACAGCAACTTAAATACATTTCTATAACAAAATAATACTTAAAACCAGAAATTCACCATCATAAAACATAATATCACAATCGATTTCCACTTGGATCATATCCAAAGAAATTTAACAAAAAGTAACTAGTAGAAGTAGAGGTTTCCATGATGAGAAAGATCTTATGTAGGTAGATACATAGGTACATTACGTACGTTAGCACTTAGTAGGTGCATAGCATATAATACATAAAATTTATACATACATATTATTAAGTATAACACCTACTACATAACAACGATAGACGACATTATGGTCTATACCTAATTAAACTTCTATTTAAGTATTTAAGTTTTCACGGTCCGTTCTTGTTAGAAATTAATACCAGACAATTTTGAATCTTCGTGATTCAAATCATTGGTTGCCGTTACTAATTATAATGAGTGAGTTGTAAGTCGCAACATAAGACTATGACAAGAAATTGAGGTTGTAGAATTAAGAAAAAATACGATCTACATTGATCACACCTCACTGTAAAGTGTAACACTATTATCAGTCACTTTGAATTAACATTTCAAATTTAGAATCCATCGATGCTGCCAACTCGTCTGTGGTCGGTTTGTGGTATTAAATAGCCGTAAGCGTCTCTGGCAGCGGCCACCATTGCAGCGAATCCAGCTGTAGGTCCCAGTTCTGTAGTCGCATGCCCTTTCTTTTGGAGTGACTCGATAATTGCCTGTTGAGAGAAACATATTTATTGTTAGAACAGTTATGTGTGGTCCTAAGTACCTTGTTGGGGTCACTGGTGAGACCTCCTAGAATAACGCATAGAGCATAAGTAAGAACGAGGTGGTCTTCAGTCAGGAAAATATAAGTAACAGCCCGACTCTCTTTCCCATCAGGGAGGGAAAAGTCAATTCCTTTGTTATAATAAAGCTCTCGGTACATTCTTAATTGATCCGTCTTGTGAGTTCAAGAACGTTAGCCTTCGTTTAAGTAATTTAGATTCTGGGTGGATATTATTTTTAAAACATGAAAGTGGTGAGAAAACGATAACTCAACGTGGCTTGGAAACAAAGGGCCGTTTACAGCTTTAACACATTAAAAATAGATGAAATAAATAGGATGCACATTGTCAAAGCAGCAAAATTGTAATATAGGCACTTCCTACATATAAAATCTTTAATACGGCTGGCCTATTTTAAAGATAATAAACAAAGTAAAGTGATAACGTTACTTTTAAGATAAAATTGCACGTTTTCCTGTTGTGAAATCAAGTGTAGGTAACTACACTACAGCGCATGACTTTAAATCTTCACTAAAAAGCAAGTAGTTATGTAAAAATCTTTGCCTTCGTTTGATAAAATGACGATAAACAACATTGAACAATCAAAATCAGTTTCCCACGATTAGTGCATCGATTAGTGGAAACTGACTTTTTTACCTACCTAAATATAGTAACTACAATGAAAATATCTGGGTAGGTAGGGATTGTAAGTCTATTGGACTTTGATTTATAGCAATTTTTAGTCATTCTATGTTGCACATAGATAGACAGGTATTAAGTACTTAATTTGACCATGATTATTATTCAGAGCATGTAATGGAGAGCATCGTTTGTCACTTTTTCCGTTTGACCACGTCAGCCATTGTTGTCCATGGACACTGAATAGGCCGTACATTATTTATTGTCGTTTGAACTAAACACCTGCCCATCACGCTACATTGCGTAATTTGTCCGACTCATTGCATAGTCGCAATGAGGACCGGATAGAAAAAATGAAAGTTACTCTTATTTATCGAGATCAATTTTCCTACATAGGTTTTCATTTTATGAATGTAATAAATATTAATAATATAGATCGCTATTGGCATACACATAATTACCATTAGGTACTAACATAAAAATATTTTGTCGGAGCACATATAGGTTGGTTCAAAGGTACTAATTACCTAAATATCTTGTTAAATTACTAAATTTGAAAGAAAGAAAGAAAGAAAAAACATTTATTCAGCACCAGGCACGATGCAGCATAGTTACATCTTTCTTCATTACGAAAGTATCGATAAAAGCCATCAAACCTATTAAGTAATAGATAAAATATCTACATAAAGGTCAAAATATCTATATATCTAAGTATTTTTGCACTTGATTGTGCAACTGCAACATTATGAATGAATCAAAGCGGAAAATAGGATAATTAGTTTGTATAAACTGCGTGCTAAGCGCATTCATACACCAGCAATTTAAACCAACTTCCAGTCATAATTGAGCACGCAAACTTCTTTGAAAAATGTTCGTATTTTTAGTTAATCAATTATAGCGTGTATCATTCAATGAAAGACTACCTACAACTGACAAAAGCTAATTGAAAATGGCATGACCACTCGTGTGTTTCTTTTGGAAGATCCATAGGAAATATACGTAAATCGTATTTACAATAAAGATATACTAATACAAGGAAGTGACGCTAAGTAAATAGGCACTAAAGATAAATTAACTTGAACAGTTAGGCATTTAAAGTAACGACTAGGTTCATATGCTATACGGCACGAGGCAATCGACGCGATGACATCACGTTTAGGGTTGCCACCCGTACTTTATAATAAAGTATTGTACGTTATTTAACTCGTCGAGTACCGTATTTATAGACACAATTAAAGAACAATAGGTTGCGGTCACCGGTGACCGCTTGGTGTTCGACAGTTTAAGGTAATTGTACTCTATACTTTATAAAAATAATAAAGTACACGAAAATACTTTTTTTTTAATCTATTTATTTATGGGATTTAATCACACAGTGATAATGTCACCCCGTGACTTACAATTAACTTGTCTAAAATCTAAATATGCTAAGTATCTTACGAAAATACTTTATTTAGCAAAATTCGATATCGATATTTATCGACTTATGTTGAATCGATTTCACCACTCGCCAGCGCCACTTAGACAATTTCTAGTAAAGATGCAATTGTTTAGTAAAGATACTAATTTAATACAAACTGCAAAAAGCAATAAAAAGTATATTTTTAAATATAATACTAAATAAGAATAAATTGTACTTTATTTTTGTGCTGTGTACTTTTTTTTCTTACCTATAATCGTCAATGTACTTTAAATACCAAAATATAAGGTGGCAACCCTAACACGTTTCCTACATTTCAAAGAAAATTACCAGCTGACTGTTATCATTGTCTCATAATTT